CAGGCGCACCTTTGTCCTCAAGCTGACATCTTTGCTCTTCAACACTTTACAAAGGTCTTGTGAAGCAGATTTGCCTAATGAAATACGTCGTTTGATCTCTTGACTGCTGCTTCCATGAGTGTTGATCATTGATCCAAGAAGAATGAAGTCCCTGACAACTTCTATCTTTTCTCCACTGATAAGACCTTAACACTTAATACACTACTATTCAATTACCAGCTGCTCCGTGGGAGAAAGATGAGGCTTTCTGCTCCCGTAAAGATACACAGCCTCGGAAACCCTGTTCAGGGTCACTATGGGTCGGAACCGACTCGACAGCACTTAACAACAACATTCAAATTAATACTTCTTAATACTTAATACACTATTCAAATTTAAAGGAGCTCTGGTAGTGTAGTGGTTACAAATCAGGCTGCGAACCACAAGGTCAGCAGTTCGAAACTACCAGCTATTCCGTGGGAGAAAAATGAGGCTTTCTGCTCCCATAAAGATTTACAGCCTTGGAAACCCTGTATGGGGTCGCTATGAGTCAGAACCAACTCCATGGCACATAACATTCAAATTTAAGGAGCTCTGGTAGCATAGTGGTTATGAATTGGGCTGCGAACCGCAAGGTCAGCAGTTCAAAACTACCAGCTGTTAAACATAGGAGAAAGATGAGGCATTCTGCTCCCGTAAAGATTTATAGCCTCGGAAAACCTGTGCAGGGTCGCTATGAGTTGGAATCGACTACACGGCATGCAGCCATAGCCATTCAAATGTAAGCACCAACCACTAAAGCCACTAATGTGGAAATTGAAGAATTCAATTTCCACGCAACCAAACACACAATCAAGATGTCTTGATAATTACTAGTGATTCTAATGCAAAGACAATTACTAGTGATTCTAATGCAAAGACGATACAAACAGGAAGTAGTTGGAACTATGGCCTTGGTGATAAAAATGTTATGCTGGAGATTGCATGATAGAATTTTGCAAGATCAATGACTTATTAATTTCAAATACCTGTTTTAAGCAACAGAAAAGACAGCTATACACATGGACTTAATCAGATGGCATTTACAGAAATCAGATTGACTACATCTGTGGAAAGAGAAGGTGGAAAAGCTCCATATCGTGAGCCAAAATAAGGCCAGGGCAGACTGTAACAGACCATCAATTGCTCATATGCAAATTCAGGCTGAAGCTGATGAAAATTAAAACAAGTCCACCAGAGCCAAAATAGGACCTTGAACATATTCCACCTGAGTTTAGAGACCATCTCAAGAAAGATTTGATGCATAAAACGGTAATGACCAAAGACCAGAGAGCTGTGGGATGACATCAAGAACATCATACAGGAAGAAAGCGAAAGGTCATTAAAAATATAGGAAAGAAATAAAACAGCAAAATGGATGTCAAAGGGTCTCTGAAACTTGTTCTCCAGCATAGAGATGCTAAAGTGACTGGAAAAAATGATGAAGCAAAGAGATAAACAGAAAATTTCAAAAAAATGACAAAGTCAGGTACTATCATGAAATGTGCAAAAACCTGGAGTTAGAAAAATCAAAAGGGAAGAACATGTTCAGCATTTCCCAAGCTGAAAGAACAAGAAAAAATTCAAGCCTCCTTTGCAATATTGAAGGATTCTATGAGCAAAATATTGAATGATGCAGAAAACATCACAAAAAGATGGAAGGAATAGAGTCACTGTACCCTTCCATCTTCTTGCTGATGTTCAGCCATTTCAAGAGGTAGCATATGATCAAGGGCCAATGTTGCTGAAGGAAGCCCAAGCTTCACTGAAGGCAATGGTTGAAAAACAAGGCTCCAGGAATTGACAGAACACAAATTGAAGTCTTTCGACAAACTGATGCAGCAGTGAAGGTGCTCGCTCATCTATGCCAAGAAATTTGGAAGACCTGGCCAACTATTAGAAGAGATCCATATCTATGCCCATTCCAAAGAGAGGTGATCCAACAGAATGCAGAAATCATCTAACAATACCATTAATGTTACATGTAAGTACAGTTTTGCTTAAGATAATTAAAAGACGTCTACAGCAGTAGATCTACAGGGAACTTTACAGAAATTAAAGCGGATTCACAAGAGAATGTGAAATAGTGTTATCATTGCTGACATCAGATGGCTCTTGCCTGAAAGCAGAGAATATGAAAAAGATGTTTACTTGTGCTTGACTGACTATGCAAAGGCTTTTGACTCTGTGGATCATGGCAAGCTGTGGATAGAGCATTACAAAGAATGGGTACTCCAGCACACTTCAGTTATCCTCGTGAGGAACCTGTACATAGACCAAGATGCAGCTTTTTAAAGAAAAAAACAAGAGGATACTGAATGATTTAAAATCAGGAAAGGTGTGTGCCATTATTGTATCCTTTCACCCTATTTATCAATCTGTTTGCTGAGCAAATAATCCAAGATGGATTATATGAAGAACATGGCATCGTGATTGGAAAAAGGCTCAGTCACAACCTGCAATACGTATAATACAACCTTGCTTACTGGACACAAAAAGGATTTAAAATCCTTCAATATGGATTGCATCTCAATGTACCCAAAATCCTCACCAACAGACCAATAAATAATATCAAGATAAATGGAGAAAATATTGAAGTTGTCAAGACTTCATTTTGCTTGGATCCACAATGAACACTTATGGAAGAAGCAGTCAAGAAATCAAAGGACATATTGCATTAGGCAAATTTACTGCACAAGACCTCTCTAAAGTGTTAAAAAAGCAAAGACCTCAGCTTGAGGACAAAGGTGCGCCTGACCCAAGCCATGGTATTTTTAGTAGCCTCACATGCATGTGAAAGCTGGACAGTGAATAAGGAAGACCGTAGAAGAATTGATGCATTTGAACTAAGATGTTGATGTTGGAAGAGACTATTAAAAGGACCACAGACTGCCAGAAGCAGCAAATAGGTGTTAGAGAAAATACAGAGAATGCTCCTTGGAGGCCAAGATGGCCAGACTTCGACTCTTATACTGGTCAGACTGCTTACCATTCCACAGCTGACCTGGTTCTGGGGCGCCACTGAGCAGTGTCCCCTTGAGCAGTCATATGGCATTTCTCATCTTAGCTGGCAAAGACTATCATTTGGATTTTTAAAAGGACTGACATGTAAAAACTCCTGCTCACTCATTTTCAGTAAAACCAACTGACTGACTTGTTTGGGGATGAGAGTACTCTCCTAGATTAAACATAAAAGACTATTTACTCCAAAGTATAAGATTAGAGAAGACACACATCCTTAATAAGTGTCTGCTTCGGCTAACTTCAACTTGAAAATGTAAAACACATTGAAAAAGTACACCTGCCTATGCGATGTCTCTCTCCAAAAAGAAACCAAAGTTGGGTAGGAAAAGGAATGTCATAGTAACATTGGAGATCTGTGAGCCTTTGACCTCTTAGGAGTTTGCTGCTGCAAATAACCACTGTACAAACTCAACTAGATAATGTATTTCTAAAATTCTAAATTGTGGAGATAGGCTTTTACAATTACTTCAATGAATTATTTAAAAGGTAGAGTAGGAGGCTTCAAAAAGTTCATGGAAAAATTCCATTCTTTTTTCATGGCATTTTTTTCCCCACAAAATATTTTGAAGCCTCTTTATATTTAAGATGCCACCTGAGTAGTTTTCCTTACTAATTACATCTCCAATTTTTAAATGTACATGGGGCTTCAAGAAGTTCAGGGGGAAATTCCATTATGTTTACATTCTATTTTTCCAAGAACTTTTTGAAGCCCACACATCATATATAAAAGCTCCCTTCTTCTCTCTCTTTTCCAGGTATGATGAGCACACTCTGAACCTAGGGTGGTGGGGACAGCCAGGGAACACCAGGCATGCTGTGGATGTTACTGATGAGATCCCAGGCCTGCAGACTATGTTATGTCAGAAAGAGATTAATTCCAAAATACAGACCTTTTTTAGCTTGCTTCTCTACAGCTGACAGCCAACCAGACAAAGAAAATCAAAGAACCGTGGAAACGCTCTATAAGCTTTCAGTTGACGTAAGAAAAATTCGCCGACTAAAAGGAGGGGTCCTTTTGGAAGATGACACCTATGTTGAAGAAATTGTCAAGATTCTACGAGAACTAGGTGCTGATGGACCTGTGATAGCCAGCATTTTGGAACGATGCCCAGAAGCAATTGTGTGTAGTCCAACCGCTGTTCACACCCAGAAAGAACTCTGGCAGTCAGTCTGCAAAAGTGAAGGAGAGTTAGTTAAGTTAATAGGACAGTTTCCTGAAGCTTTCTTTACTGTTACAGACCAGGAGACCCAGAAGCTCAATGTTCAGTTCTTCCAAGAGTTGGGACTCAAGAATGTCATCATTAGCAGGTTTTTAACAACTGCCCCTAATATTTTTCATAATCCTGTTGAGACTAATCAACGAGTGATAAAAATGCTCCAAGAGAGTTATCGAAATTTAGGTGGATCTGAAGCCAACATGAAAGTTTGGCTGCTAAAATTATTAAGCCAAAACCCATTTATTTTATTAAATTCTTCTGCATCTGTCAAGGAAACAATGGGATTTCTCCAGGAGCTAGGTTTCACAAACCTTGACATTCTCCAACTCCTGTCCAAACTCAAAGGATTCCTCTTCCAGCTTGGCCCCAAAAGTATACAAAACAGTATTTCCTTTTGTAAAAATGTCTTGAAGTGCACAGATGATGGCCTAAAGGAATTAGTTTTGAAATGCCCTGCCCTTTTATATTATCCTGTTCCAGTTCTGGAAGAAAGAATTGAGGGGTTATTGAAAGAAGGGATTTCCATACCTCAGGTAAGAGATGCGCCAATGGTGCTTGAACTGACACCACAGATAGTAGAGTATAGGATGAGGAAACTCAGTTCTTTGGGCTACAGCATAAAGGATGGGCATCTAGCAAATCTCAGTGGAACCAAAAAAGAGTTTGAGGCTAACTTTAGCAAAATCCAAGACAAGAAAGGTAGGCCAGTGTTTAACCCTGTGGCTCCACTAAGTGTTGACGAGTAACCCAGCCAACCTATGTGGCTTCTTTCTAGTGCAGAGTGAAAGGTTAGCAAAGACTTCGGCAGTCAGTTTGTGCATCCACCTCATTCAAGTGGATTCTGACTCTCAGCCACCTGCAGGACAGAGCAGACCAGCTCAAGGCTTTCCAAGGCTGTCAGTCTTCACTGAAGCAAAGCCTGTCTTTCTCCAGCAGAGCTGATGAGTTCAAACCATCAACCTTTCAGTTAGCAGCCCAACACTGAATCCGCTGCACAATCGGCTACTTTGGACAGTTTGTAAGCACCAGTAATTGTACAGACTGACTTAACTTCTGAGTTGTGTTTAAATGAGCTCTAAATAATCTCTGAATTATTGAAATGTAAATCTTTGCATTTATTTTCAATAAAGTCGGTTATTTTAAAACTCATGTACTTTTAAATGGCATCACTATGTTTTCTATAAGTTAATAATTTCTAAAAGGCTGACAAGTGTGCTCTGTGAATTTAAAATATGAATACATGTTTACTTATCCAGCATGTTTCATCTGGTATGCAGACTTCATCTTCCTCACCACTGGCTCAAAAACATCACTCCTGGAATCTGAATTCTAGCACTATCAAAGGGAACAGCTGCAAATGGATCATCGTTTTTTAGAGAAATCCCATTTCATCTCCTGGTTAGAGTAATTCTTTATCTTTGAGAACCAAACATTTTCCAAAAATCTTATGTTCTACTAGAGGAATTTGTGTGAGAAAGACTTTGGACATGTCATCAGGAGGGACCAGTCCCTGGAGAAGGACACCATGCTAGGTAAAGTGGAGGGTCAGCAAAAAAGACCCCCAACAACATGGAGTGGCATAGTGGCAACAGCAGTGGGCTCAAATGTGTAGCAACGAACGTGAGGTGTGCACAGGACCAGGTAGTGTTTCGGACACTGTGAGTTGGAACCAACTTGACATCACCTACGAAAGCAATGAGGAGTTTGATCAGAGCCAACTTGTGTGGCCATTATATCAGAAAATACCTTTTAAGTGTATTACAGATGAAACCAGAGCTCGGGGAGGGCACAGCATTAGGCTGCCAAATGGCAGAGCCCAGATGAACTGAGATCTGGTTCCTTCTCGTACCTCATGGATGTAAATACTCACTTATGAGAAGCCACCCCTACCTGACCTGACATGCCCAAGAGAGTGAGTCTTGATAACAGATTCAGGGATTTTTATGAAAATTCTGCAAAGTTCCTTAAATTTAAATGACAGTTTCAAACCCACCAGCTGCTCCTCGGAAATCCTATACAGTGGCTCTACAGGTCGGAACCAACTCAACAACACTTAACAACAGCAATAACATATACATATTTGAAGTCAGCATAGCTTTTTAGAAAACATTCTGAAAACCCAAGTGTGTCCAAAAGGGAAAGTGTGTGATAATACTGAATTTAGTGGTAGAGTTCCAAGTTTCTATTTCTAAATCTTGTTCCAAGCCAGACATTGCCCAGGAAAACACTGGCTCACATTGTTGGGTAGTTTGAACTTTGTAACAAATACACACGCAACACTTGTCTCAAACATGTACTATGTATGTGTGTGGTCATGAGAAAAAAAAAAAGAATTAAGACAGGCAACATCCTCAACGTTGAGATCACGTAACCCACCTGATTCCAAATCTGTTCAGCTCCTTGGTTTGGAGAGATCTATGTAGCACCTACGATGTGTCAGGTGTAAGTTGTGTTTTACAACCCTAAGAGTTGAGTACCATTGTATACTGTTCTACAGAGAGCAAGCCACCTACCTAAAGTCATCTGACACTGCTGAAGAAAAAGGCCAGCTACTTCACCTGGCGCCCAGGAGTGGTACCAGTTGAGGTCAACATGGCAGCCCGTCCGAGGAGGAAGACCTTTTGAAGTACAGGGGGGAAACTTGGAGAGTTTTAATTAAAGTTTGCCTTAATCCTCATGTAAGCTGTTTTTGCTAGCTGTACTGACAATAAGGAGCTCTGGCAGCGTAGTCGTTTCAAGTTAGGCTGCTAACCTCAGCGTCAGCAGTTCAAAACTACCAGCTTTTCCGCCGGAGAAAGATGAGGCTTTCTGCTCCAGTAAAGATTTACAGCCTCGGAATCCCTGTACAGGGTCACTATGAGTCAGAACCCACTCCACGGCACATAACAACTGACATCAATAGTGTGCTCTTACACATTTGAAAATGTTCATTCAGAATACATAGGGTATGTGGTCTCCACATGCCTCCTAGACAGCCAAGTGGGTGAAGTCTGGAGCTGTGAGAAGCCAGCACTGGGGATAGGAACGTACATGTATTGGGGATCCTTTATCAGTGACTCTAAAGCCATGGACCTAATTGGCACACTGCCTCAAGTAAAAGTAGGTGGCTGGCCAAGCCTGCAAGAGGTTGAGCAGAGGACCAAGCTTGCCAAGAGGAGGACATGATCTACAGTGCGCGCCACCGAGGCTAACAGTGATGCAGAGACGTGGCCAGTGGCTTTGGCAAAAACTCAATCACAGATGATCCCATCCTGAGTAACTCTGGCAGAATGGTCAATGTGAAAAGGCCAACTGGTGTGTGAGCTACAAACTGGAGGAAGATGAGAAAGGCAAGGGCCATACGCTTGTACAGGAATTTCTACAGCAAAGGAAAGCAGGCAGAAGAGAGACAAAGCCAGTATTGAAACATGGTTATGTGCTGATGAGTAGGTACGACCAAAAGAATCACCTGATAAGAGATGGAAAAATTGCAGGACACCTACGAATCGGGTTGTGAACTGCAAGGTCATCAATTCGAATCTTACCAGCTGTTCTGCGGGAGAAATATGAGGCTTTCTGCTCCTGTAAAGATTTACAGCCTCGGAAACCCTGTACAGTGTCGCTATAAGTCGGAACCGACTCCATGGCAAATAACCAACCAACCCTTGAGGAAGTGATGGTAGGTTGGCTTTTGGAGAAGAGCCCAGACAGTGGTCCAGATCCAGATACACTATAAAGAGGGAAGCAGAGTGGGAACACAGATGTAAGGCATGCCCCCACCCCACCCCCCAAAAAATGACTACAAAACAGGAGGGCGGAGCATAGAGGGCCAAAAGAGAAGGGGTCATTTTGAGGAGTAGGAACATGAAGGCACAAGAGGGTGTATTTGGAAAGTCTGGCAGAGTTGAGTGGCCATGTCTAACTCTTGGCCATTAAAGAAACTGCAAAATTCAGCTACTTGGGTCCAAACAGAGCAGACACAGATGGGTTATAGATTCACATTTCTAACTTATCCAACTCTAAAAGATTTTTCATTTTAATTTTGACTTTCAAATTTCTGTATACTGTTTGTTTTTCAAAGCCAGATCCCATTCATTTTCTCCCTTAACCCTCTGGAATCATTTTTGCATTCTTTTTCTCAAGTCTTACATTCTCACTCAGCTCTTGAGAAACAGAATTTTGAAAATTCGAAATGAAAAATACAGCAGGAGGGATAGGAGGAAGGTATCCTTACATATAAAACACTGGAGTTCAATTGTATTTTCCCTGTGAACAACAGCTTGAATAACAAACTGCATTTCCAGAACACATTCCGTGTGTAATTACACTGAATTCTTTGGTCGCAAAATGTAATTAGCTATCAAAGTAAATCACGGACATCTGGAGGAGTTCCAGCCTAGGAAACCCAGCCTGCAGGCAGTGCCCGACGTCCGGCTCTGGGCGTGTGGAGAGGCCATGCCCACTCATTTATGTGATAGGAGAAATCCAACTCAGTGATGAAAGTTAGTCCCTTCCTTATTTGTAAAATGGAAATAAAGGTGCTTCCCTCATCTTGATTAAATCAGACAGTGTGTGGACAGTACCTGGCACATAAGCAGATGCATCCTCCCTCACACAGTCCCCATTCCCGAGTCATTTCTGTCAGTTGGCTCCATCCACAGCTACCTGGGTAGAGAGATGCTCCTGATCTGACAAGTCCTCCAGTTTTCAAAAGTCAGTTGTCTGAACTGGTTAAAATGTAAAGTCCTGGGCCCCTATTCAGATTCAAGTTGAGGTAGAACCTAGAAATTTACACTTAATCTTTATTAGTATAAATATAGTTGTACTTCATTGTCATGAGGACATCGGTTAAGGTAGATGTATATGAAGATGTTCTGCCATGTTTGTTCATTGGCATCAAAAAACATTCGGCTATAGCATTCTCTGTCAACTGCTATATCACTCAAAATTTTAATATTACCCTGTGTTTAAATTTTCTTTTATTTTCTTAGATCTTGATAAAACATCTCATCTTATTGCAAGTCATAGTGCTTGATAACAGACTTCATGTGTTCTTTTCCCACATCCCTTAATACAAAACACTTTATTCAATCAGTGATTTTCTTCTGACATTTCACTAAGTACAGGATTCATAATGTCAATAAGATTAGATTGGTCATCTGGGTGGGCTGGGTCCACCCAAGTTTCTCCTCATTCTGCCAAATACCCACTCGAGAGAAGCTAAATACATGCCTCCAGGTGTATGAGTTCTGGGTAACAGGTCAAATTGCTAATCTACGTAAATAAACCAGAAACAACACAAATGGCAAGTTCACCTCAACAGAAACCTCAGGAACGAACTACACATCTGAACAGTTCTCTGCCGTCATTGCAAAAGCCCCTCTGGAACTAAGCTATCTTCCAAGTTTTAAAGAAACCTGAGATAAAGTAACAGGTGTCTTTTTGTGGGAAAAATTAGTTACAACAACTTTTACTCAAGCAATTTGAAAGACAAAGTTGCAAACAAATATGTGCACATGAACAGTAAACTCAAGTCTCTACTTTGAAGTTCCGGTGCAGAGCAAAGCTCTAAGATCAATTAGAAATAAAACCTGGCAGTGAAGAATAGTCTCTTCCAAATAGCAAGGTGCAAGGCCTCCACCCCATTATTGAGATCATTTTTTAATGAGTGTGTATTGGGGTTTTTTTTCTTAATTCCCTTTGTTAGTTGTGGCATATGACCAAATACACCTGAAATCATACTGCATGAAACAAATGACCAGCTCATTCCTGATGAACTGACTTGAACTTAATGAATTTTTCTTAAAATCCTTGTATTTTGAAAGCTTTTTAAAGTCCCATTATATTCTTCTCCACTTGTCAGTACACATTATTCATGGAAATCTTCGTGATTTACAAACATCTAAGCCTGGAGTGCTTACCAGCTGCTCCTTGGAAACCCTATACAGGGTCACTATGGGTCGAAATCGACTCCACGGCACTTAACACCAAAGCCTCAAGTGCTGGCGTGATCTATGGGCTGCTGTCTGGGAGGTTACGGGCCTCACCGCTGCGCTTCGTGGCCTGGAGGCAGATTTCCACACATGAATATAAAGAAAATGGGGATCTTTCAGGCTTGGTTTAAAACATTTGTTACAAGGAATGACAAACATATATTGCCAGTTCCTTTTTTTTTAATTGAGCATGAAACAAGACAAAAAAACCCCACAGAAATGAAATTTGAGCTGAGCACACTATTGGAGATGGAATAGCACAGGATGCGCTTGGCAAGACAAGACGCGCTCGTCATCATCATCAAAAACTCCCAATTCCCTGCCTGAAATCGACTTGGACAATGGTACAATGTGTACAATGCATCTTAAACCGTCTACGTAGACAGACCCCTTTGAAAGCACACACATTGCACATTCACACCTGATCTACGGAGCCCCTTTCCTTCCAGATTAAATAGTTCTCATCTATTGTGGGGTTGCTTTTAAATGTGTTTTATAGTAATTTCCACACTCCTGTAGGGAAAACACATAGTTCGTTTTTTATTTTGGGTGCCTTGGGTAATTCTTAAGATCTTAAAACTATTTGTTCTTAATATGAAATGTTTCCAGCATAGCTTCTGACCAGTAAAGAAATGTTCTTTAGGCACTGTGAGGTGTATTAACAATGGAGCCTGACCCAGGTTGAAGTGTACAATCGGAGTCTAACTACCAACAGTACGAGTTACCTGCAGATGGCAAGAAATGCCTTTAGCCCACTACTACTCCTGAGATTCCTGTCTTGAGGGAAAACTTAATATCACAAACAATCTGTAAAATGATCCAAAGAGGTAATTTTAAGAACTGCACATACAAGGTATTAAGAAACCTGTTCTTCTGTAAGGCATCAATTATCAATGAATAGGACGTAAATGGTTACCACTCGGAATCATAAAGCCATTTATCTTTTAGACCTAATACCTGCTACTTTTACCAGCTTAAATAAGAAAAGGTGGCCTTTTGGCCTAATCAACTATGTTTATAAAAAAACTAAGACATCTGAAACTATTAGGCACATCAAAGGTTCGGTTTATGTAGTTCAAGATTCCCTTCTTAAGGGGCAAATGAGTCACCTGCACATCATACATAAGGAACTATGAAGACCATCCACTAAAGTCAACTTTCACATTTTTTAGTCAAACTGAAAGACTAAGAGTAAATATGCAAACATACCATATCTTCAGTTACAGCTGAATTAAGTGTAACATTTTACCAGATAAAAAGCTGGAATGGGAGTCTGAGACACCTTCATACACTGTGCTAGTATTGGCCTCTTCTTTTGGACAAAGCCAGTCATCAATACTTTCAACACAGCAGGTTAGAAGGTACACATCCAAAATAGGGGACTTGGTTGTAGTCCCTAGTTTAGCAATTCAATGCCACTGGCATCATAATGCTGGGAAGCAAGTGTGTCTCCATGGTTTAGTCCGATTTGTCTTTCTTCTTTCCTGTTAAGGGCACTTTGTTGACCACAGCCGACCCAACAGCTGACACACCTCCAGCCACGGCAGACACGCCCCCTTTCACAAGCCCTATTCCCATGGACGGTACAGTTGTGACCGCGGTTTTGGTCACCTCCAGACTTTTTCCACCAATCCAAGCCACACCACCAATGGTGGCTCCAACGGCTCCCTTTGTAACACTGAAGATACCCCCAGTCACACGGGACAACATGCCTGGTTGTTGCTGTGGGTGGTCTTTCATTGAACCTAATGAAAGAAAATACGAGAGTCAAATATAAACCTTTAAAAGAACATTACAAATCACAAAGTAACCTGACTTCATAATAATCAAGAGACGGATTTAACGAGGCCAGCCATAAAAACACAAGTGAACGTAGCTCTTCCCCTAATGCATGTATAAATAATTTGTATGGCTGCGTATTTTAAAGTATAATAGTATCTACTAGAAGAAATGACTTTCAAAAAACAGAATTCTACTTTAAATATTCTTGGATATACAGTCTGTAGTCGTTAATAAACCATCTTTATATTTAGGATATCATTATCCTAACAGAAGCCTGAACCCACTAGGATAGCTATTATCAGAAAATAACACATGTTGGCAAAGATGTGAGAAACTCAAACCCTCATATCCACTGCTGCTGGGACTGTAAAATGAAGCCACTGTAGAAAAACTGGTGGTTTCTCAAAAAGTTAAACACAGAATTACCATATTACCCAACAATTCCACTCCCAAAGATCTGAAAGCAGATAAATGGATACGTGTACACCAATAACCAGGGCAGCACGACTCATAATAACCAAATGGTATAAACAATTCAACCGTCCAACAGATGAAATGACAAATAATAAAACGTGGCATGTACCCCAATGGAGTATTATTACTCAGCTACCAGAGCTCTGATCTGTGTCACAAGACAGATGAACATTGAAAGCAAGCTGAGAGAAGTTAGTCAGACACCAGAGAGCAACTGTGGTCCAACTGATATGAAACAGGCAGACTCCGAGAGTCCAAGTTCATCAGTGGTTCCCCGGGTGGTACTTCATAAGGGATAAGGAGTGTCTGTCTGATCAGGGTGATGAAACTGTATGGACAGTGGTGATAGTGACATTAACTGGGAAACGATGTCACTGAAGCGTACACAAAACATGGTGGAGGCATCAACTGTTACAGATATTTCCACACAGTTGTTTTGTGTGTGTGCAGTTCATGTTAATAAAATCAGAATGTGCACAGCAGTGCAGTGCTGGCCTCTACACTCATGCCGTCAGCACTTACTAAAGCGACAGCAACTAGAGGTCACTCTTTACAGTCAGCAGGCTTAAGTGTATTCTTACATGATCAATACAATTTAAAAACAAAGGGAATGTGAAAGAATAAAAAGATGAATAAATGTATTTACCCTTCATTTCCTGAAATCATTACTGAAACAACTCTCTTTCTTTAAAAGTAATGATTCTCAGAAGAATGGCCTGGGACTTCTGAGAACCCCTTAAGACCATGTTGGGTTCCATAAATTAAAGTTTATTTCCACCACACCACTTGATGGCAGCTAGTTGATGTGTGCATATATAATGCTGCTGATATCTTTAATTACACTGTATCAAACCCTGAACCCACTGCTGTGGGGTCCTGCTCATGGCATTACATGGGAGAACTGCTCCACGGGGTTATTTTAGGCTGTAAACTTAACAGAAGCGGATCACCCCATCTCTCTTCCACTGGGTGTGTCTAAACCATCAACCTTTAGGTAAGAAGACAAATGCAATCCATTTGTGCCACCCAGGGACCACTACTTATGAGCGTTAAGTACTGTCAAGTCGATTCCGTACTTAAGCGACCCTGTATAGGGTTTCCAAGAAATGGCTGGTGGGTTTGAACAGCCAACCTTGTGGTTAGCAGTCCAGTGCTTATCCTACAGGCCACATCAAGACCTATGATTACCACTCTAGAAATCATCTGCTTTGTAGATGCCCCTTCTTCAGCAGTTGGCATACAGGCTTTCCTGTGGCAATGTTTTCTTCCTTGACCACCACGCTTCCAGATGGCCTTCACTTATCTCTCAAAGTCCTAATTCACTTTCTCAGCCCTAACTTTTCTTTCAAAAACTCCATGGTTTTAGTTCTAAAAAAAGACAAAAAGAGCTCAGCCAATCCTTTTCCAGATTCTTCCTCACCCCTTACCCCTGCCATTCCCTTCTCCAAAACAAAAAGCTAAACTAACCCTAATCAATTAAGTTTCCTCCATTGTCTTTTTACATAAATAAAAGTTGTTCATTCTGTAAGCTTCCTAGCCATTTCCTTTTTGCCTACCAACATTAAGAAGGAATATAGGAAGAAAATTTTAGATAAGTCAGTAATAGGGTTAGGAGGAAACTGTTGTTAAGTTCTGTTGCGTCAGTTCTGACCCATAGCAACCCTGTATAGGGTTTCTGAGGAGTAGCTGGTGAACTTGAACCGCCGACCTTGCAGTTCAAATCAACTTTGCAGTCCAGTGCATTAACCCACAGCGCCACATCAGGACTCCCAGGAGGAAAACAGAATACCTGGAATTACTACTTCTAGCTCTGGGTCCTGCCCAGAGACACCCTAGTCTATCCGGTAGCCCATTTCAGCCAACCATCCTGCTCCAATTTGTGTCTCTTAAGTTCCATGACTAACCCAGACAAACAGGCAATCCTCCAAAGAGATCACTATACGGATTAACATTAGTTATATTCTACACCACACCATAAATAAAACACCTGTAATTTTATACAGGACATTCATGTGTGAGATCAATGTTTCTAGGAATTTTTTGACGTAAAGTCATAATTTTCAAACCAAAAGAGAACAGTAGTTTAGAAAAACTTATTAAGCAGACCCCAAGACCATGAAAAAATACAACATATTGTAATGAATAAATGAGTTTATCAATAAACCTGAAGAGTTTGGTACACACTGGTATGGTGCTGTAGGATAATGCACTGGACTGCAAGGTCAGTTTAAGCTGCAAGGTTAGGTTAGTGGTTCAAACCCACCAGTTGCTCCTTGGAAACCCTACAGAGAGCCGCGATGAGTTGGAACTGATTCAATAGTAGTAATGACAACACATCAAAAGGAAACACAGTTCATCCCTCCTTTCCTACCCCTGCCCTTTACATGTACAAGGGTACTCATACTCAGGAAATGGCCATAAAACAGGGTACACTGATCTTACATAAAGTGTCCCAATTTTATCAACTACAAATAGAGCTTATAAAACTGTGGCCCCATTCATCAATATCTGTGTTATCTTGTTGTTGTGAAGTGCTGTTGAATCTATTCTGACTCATAGCAACCCTGAATAAGGTTTCCAAGGAGCAGCTGGTGAGCCTGAACCACCGAGCTTGCAGTTCAAACGACTTGCAGTCTGATGCATTAGCCCACAGTGCCACACCAGGACTCCGTTTTCTTATTAAAAGCTAAAAATTATTTTACTTTCAATTATTTTTGGAGCATATTTGCTGACCAGGTAAATGAGTTGCATTATTTTAAATTTAATAAAAATCACATCTTTAATTCACCAGGGCATTTTTGTAGATGTCGTCTTACCTTCTGGTGGTTCATCACTAAGGTATGATGGGATTTCTTGTTGGTTTTTATCTGCCTGATTCATGATCTCCTGAAAAACAAAAACACAGCTGAATTTCAATAATGTGACACCAACTCTTTTCACAAGCTACTTTAAAACTTAATCAACTTTTTCCAGATAAACTACATTTTAAAACACTTGAATGATAACAAGATGGCAGATCAGGTGGACATACAGTGAGGAGCTCCATCAGCAACAAACAGAATACTGAACCAAGCAGGCTCAGGGGATGGTGCCAGAACTCTGAACCACATATAAAGGAAGATTTAGAAGCTTGGAAGGCTTACAGCTAGAGGAATTTGTAGCAGAATCAAGAAATCCATTGCTTTCTAATTCAAGACACTCAGCTGCTCCAGGTGCTGCCATCTTGGGAGAGACCAAGTGGGGGAAGGATCAGAACCATCACGAACACCTGACAGAACCGCAGAGATACACGTGTGGACATCCTTTTTTTTGTATCTGTTCACTGGTCTCTCGCTGACTGCGCACCTCCATTCTGGTGACTAGAGTTGATGCCTGAGCAAATGGACACCCTACCTCAACCCCTGGAGGCATCTACTAAGCATGCGCACAGATCTCCTCAAAATTTAAAGTGACAGTTTCCACTTAAAACCAAACAGCCACCACTTGTCTGTCAGTTTGTCGTACTGTGGTGGCTTGTGAGTTGCTATGATTCTGAAAGCTATGTCATCAGTATTTTAAGTACCAGCAGGGTCACCCATGGTGGACAGGTTTCAGATGAGCTTCCAGACGAAGACAGACTAGGAAGGAGGAGTGATGAACTAGTTCTGAACATTCAGTCACTGAAAACCTCATGAACAGCAGAGAAACACTGTCAGATATAGTGCAAGAAAATGAATACCTCAGGTTGGAAGGCACTCAAAATGCGACTGGGGAAGAGCTGCCTCCTCAAAGTAGAGTTGACCGTGATGACATAAATGGAGTAAAGCCCATGAGACCTTCATTTGCTGATGGGGCACAACTCAAAATGAAGAGAAACAGCTGTAAACATCCATGGAAAATCGGAACATGGAATGTACAAAGTATGAATCTGGGAAAATTGGAAGTTGTCAGAAATGAAATGGAATGCATAAACATCGATATCTTAGGAATTAGTGAGCTGAAATAGACTGGTATTGGCCATTTTGAATCTGACAACCACATGGTTTACTATGCCAGGAATCACAAATTGAAGAGGAATGGTGTTGCATTCATTGTCAAAAAGAACATATCTAGATCGGTCATGAGGTACAATGCTGTCTGTGATAGGATAATATCCATGCACCTACCGGGAAGCCCAGTTAATACCATTATTATTCACATTTATGCACCAACCATTATAGCCAGTGAGGATGAAATAGAAGAATTCTACCAACTTCTTCAATCTGAAATCAATCAAACATGCAATCAAGATGTATTGATCATTACCGGTGATTGAAAATGCAAAGGTTGGGAGCAAAGAGGAAGGATCAGTAGTCGGAAAATATGGCTTTGGTGATAGAAATTATGCTGGAGAACGAATGATAGATTCCTGCAAAATCAATGATTTGTTCATTTCAAATACCTTCTTTAGACAGAGTAAGACACAAGTATACACATGGACCTCACCAGATGGAATACATAGAAATCAAATTGACTGCAGAAAGAGACGAAGGAAAAGCTCCATATAACATCAGTGAAAACAAGGCCAGGGGCAGACTGTGGAACAGACCATCAATTACTCATATGCAAATTCAAACTGAAGCTGAGGAAAATGAAAACAAATGCAGTACGAACCAAAATATGACCTTGAATATATCCCAACTGAATTTAGAGATCATCAGAAGAACAGATTTGATACACTAAACACTAAAGACTGAAGACCAGAAGAGTTGTGGATGACATCAAGAACATCATACATGAAGAAAGCAAAAAGTCATTGAGAAGATAAGAAAGTAAGAAAAGGTCAAAATGGATGTCAAAAGAGACAATGAAACTTGCTCCAGCGTAGAAATGCTAAAGCAAATGGAAGAAATGAGGAGGTCCAAGAGCTGAACAGAAAATTTCAAAGATCAGCTCAAGAAGATAAAGTCAAGCATTACAACAAAAGGGACAAAGATCTGGAATCAGAAAACCAAAAAGGAAGAACACACTCAGCATTTCTCAAGCTGGGGGAACTGAAGAAAAAATTCTAGCCTCAACTTTTGTTAATTGAAGGATTCTCTGGGCAAATTACTGAATGATGCAGAAAGCATCAAGAGAAGACAGAAGGAATACACAGGGTCACTGTACCCAAAGGAAATGGTTCATGTTCAACCGTTTCAAGAGGTAGCATATGATCAAAAGCCAATGAAACTTAGGGAGGAAGTCCAAGGCGCACTGAAGGAATTGGCAAAGAATAAGGCACCAGGAATTGATGGAATTCAAATTAACATCTTTCAAAAAAGTGAGGCAGCACAGGAGGCACTCACTCATCTCTGCTAAGAAACTTGGAAGACAACTATCTGGCCAACTGGTTGGAAGAGATCCGTATTTGTACCCATTCTAAAGAGAGGTGACCTAATGGAATGCGGAAATCATCGGACAATCTCTTTGATATCTCATGCAAGTAAAGTTTTGTTAAAGGTAATACAGAAACAACTACAATCATACATTGACAGAGAACTTCCAGAGGTTCAAGCTGGATTCAGAAGAGGCCATGGAACGAGGGATATCATTGCTGATGTCCGATGGATCTTGGCTGAAAGCAGAGAATATCAGAAAGATGTTTACCTATGCTTTATTGACTACACAAAGGCTTTTGATTGTGTGGATCATGACAAGCTATGGACAACATTGCGATGTATGAGTATTCTGGAACACTTAACTGTGCTCATGAGGAATCTGTACCTGGACCAAGAAGCAGGTTTTCGAACAGAACATGGGAACACTGAATGGTTTAGAATTGATGCTTTTGAGTTATGGTGTTGGAGGAGAATATTCAAAGTGCCATGGCTGCCAAAAGAACCAATAGATCCATATTGGAAGAAGTGCAGCCAGAGTGCTCCTTGGAGGCCAAGATGGCCAAACTTCATCTCTCAGACTTCGGACATATTGTCAGGGGGGACAGTCACTGGAGAAGGATATCATGTTTGGTAAGGTGGAGGGTCAGAGAAAAAGAGGAAGACGCCCAACAAGATGGAATGGCCAAGTGGCAGCATTGATGGACTCAAGTGTGGCAATAGTAGTGAGGCTGGCCCAGGATCAGGCAGTGTTTCGTTCTGCTGTGCATAAGGTCGCTCTGGGTCGGTACCAACTCAATGGCACCTAACTACAACACCAAAATGCCTGACAAAAGTCTCCTTCATCTCATCTCTGTCTAGCTCAGTGTGCCACTTCTCAGATGCTTTAAATTACACCAGTGGACAATGACAATCTGATCCCAAACACCAAGCCGCCAGACAGGCAAAGTACAAGCTCTTCGGTAAGGCTACTACTGTTGATTACAAGTCAGGCTTCTAACATCAAGGTCAGCACTTTGAAACTACCAGATGCTTCATGGGAGAAAGATGAGGTTTTCTGCTCCCATAAAGAGCTATAGCCTCAGAAACTCTACAGGACTGCTATGAGATGGAACCGACTTCACAGCACACAACCACCACCACCACACTTCAAATGAATCTGAAAATTACTAATTGAAAGAGAATTGGGAGGTTGGCTAAAATTTTAAGTGCTTCCTCCTACAGAATATTGGTTAATTTGCCCCCGGTGGCACTGTAGGACAAGCACTGGGCTGCGAACCACAAGGTTGGCTTTTGCTCCTGTAAAGATGTACAGCCTCAGAACCCCTATGTTGTTGTTATTCAGTGCTGTCAACTCGGTTCAGACTCGTAGTGACCCTGTATAGGATCTCCAAGGAGCAGATGGTGGATTGGAATTGTCAACCTTGCAGTTAGCAGTCCAGTGCTTATCCAACAGTGCCACCAGGGGTAAATTAACCAATATCTGTATTGGCAGGACTTAACGTTCTAGCCAGCTAACCCCAACCTCACAGTCTCTTTCCATTAGTAATGTTCCGTTTTAGCTGATGAAAAACTGCAGCCATACAGAAGCGCTTGTTCTGTGCCTGCCAGGCAGCTTGCGGCTTCTGATCAGATTGTCATCATCCACTGGAATCCAATTGAAGGCAGTGAGCTTGAGTTTTGAGTCTGAGTTTAGTTGAATTCATTTCACAATAGTCTAGATGATAATCCTATACCATAACTTAAGGGCTCAAGAAACAATTGTATGGCTGGAGCAGGACCGTGCAATGTTTCATTCAGGGTCATGATGAGTCAGAACCGACGGGGGGTACTGGACAACAACATACCACAACTTAAAAGATGTTCCATGTGAAAAAATTCTAAAAAATATGAAATTGTTCACCTATGAAGACAATACCACCAACCTGAATCACTAAGAAATGGATCTGGAAGACTTTTCTGTAGTCTTTTTTCTATGAAAACAAAGTACTATGATTACTTTTATGAAAAATACTAAGGGGAGGCCTGGTGTAGGTAGCGCTGTAGGGATAAGCACTTGACCATAAGGTCGGTCTGAACTGCAAGGTCAGCAGTTCAAACTCACCAGCAGCATCTTGGAAACCCTCTACAGGGTCGCTATGAGTTGGAACTGACTCAACAGCACTTAACAACAAGTAAGTCAGTCCTAGTGTGGCGCTGTGGTGCTAACCGCAAGGTCAGCAGTTCAAACCCATCAGCCACTCCTCAGAAACCCTATACAGGGTCACTGTGAGTCACAACTGACTCGATGGTACTTCACAACAAATGTAAGAAAGGACCCCTGGTGGTGCAGTGGTTAAGTGCTCGGCGCTAACTGAAAAGTCTGCAGCTCCTTCCCTTCATGGAACCCACCAGCCACCCAGTCTGCTTCCATAAAGATTTCAGCTTAGGAAACCCTAAGGGCAGCGCTTCTCAGTCCTATCAGATAGGTGTAGTCAGAACGGACTCCAGAGCAATGGGTGTGGCTTTTGTTTTTAAGAAGTTAAGAGTCCCTGGGGTGGCCAT